TAGTTCGGTAGGTGTATGTGTGTGTGGGGGAGTGTCAGACAAGCTCCATTAAATGCTTTGCTAACCTTGGAGGCTTATGCCAGTTCCTGTGACCACATCGTTAGAAGGAATCCATAGACCAACCTGAGATTCCCGGTTTGATGGAGCCCACTGGTCCAGAAGACCTTGCCTAACTGGGGTGGGGGGGGAGCCCTGTGACACAGAGCTAGCACTGAAGGGCCATGAGTCCTTTTAAATCACTTATAGCTTCAGTGCCGGACCATGCGATCACCATGGGGCTGCCTCCCAGAGTCAGGCTCAGTTATGATGCAGGTCATCAAAGGGGACAAATGGTCATGAATCTCAGGGGAGATAAGGACCAGAAGGGGGAGGAAGGCAGCTGACCAGGGGCTGACCAGGGGCTGACCAGGGGCTGGCCAGGCCCAGACTGCTAACTCTGCCACAAAGCAAAATCATGTGGTGCTGGGGAAACAAAGCTCATGAGAACCGATTGCATACACCTGACCCAGAAGCAACTGGGCACAGGAGCACAGTGCTCTGGGAGAACACCAGCTACTCACTATAAGACAAAAGTGCTGGGAAATCAGAAAGAAGTCTGGAAGAAACTAGATTTAGATTAACATTTCACACCATGTACTAAGACAAGCTCGTGACCTGGGAAAAAAGGCAGCTCTCCAGGCAGCACAGTGGCAGAGTGCTAGACCTGGTATTGGGAAGACCCGAGTTCAAATCCAGCCTCAGATACTCCCTATGTGTGTGACCCTGGACAAGTCACATGACTGCTTTCTGCCTCAATTTCCCCAACTGTAAAATGGGGATAACAATTACACCTTCCTCCCAGGGTTGTTATGAGGATAAAATAGGATAATATTTGTAAAGCACTTTGCACAGTGTAAAGCCATATATAAATGTTATCACCATCATTATTATGACATCTGCTATTAGGATGAGGCAGAAAAGGGATGGAGCGAAGGGGCAGAATGCAAAACACATTTTCAGACAAGGTCAATACAACAAAATTTGCCTGACTATGTTTGTTACAAGAGAGATTTGTATTTGAGGGGGCAGTTTTGTGGGAAGCAGTGGTGGAGAGAGTGATAATGAAGCAAAAAAGGAAAGAAAAAAGAGAATCAATGAACCATTTAAAAACACCCAGAAGAAGCAGCCGATGTTCAGGAGGGGACCCCAGATGAGCAGGAGCGGGGCCATGTGCAGTTTGATGTATGCTGGAAAACCCCAAGTGTTCCATGCATGATGTATGGTTTCCCGAGCAGTCCTGTTTCTGTCCTCTTTATGAGGAAATGTTCATGTTTCTTGATGACTATCCAGGTTATAAAAACCCTTTTCCCCCCCGAGGAAAGAGCCCCGGTTCTGCAGTAGTAGACCTGAATGCATTTATTGTGTTCTGTTGGGCAAATCCCTTCTCCTCCCTGGTCTCAGTTTCCTCTTCTGTAAAATGAGGCTTCAGAGGTTGCTGTGAGCCCTTGGTCGAGGATCCTGGGACGTCGCCAGTTTTCTGTCTCTGCATTTAAATTCCTCCTGCCCTTCCCCTTCTGCCCCGATGCAGCGTTGCTCAGAAAGACCAGCAGCAACACTGCCAAGGACAGAAGCTAGCAGCGAGATACCAGGAGTGGAAAGGTAGTGAGAGCAAAGGAAGCTTCAGAGACAGCCTGGGCACTTTACTGGGCTCCAGCCTGTGCCCAGAAAACCAAAGACAGCTGCCCCTGTCACCCTGAGCCCGCCCCCAATCTGGGCGCTGGGCAGATCTCCCCTGACGTCCGAGGTAGGACATCGATGTCCAGGCTAAGCGGGTGTGGAGGGCTGCTATCTGTACCAGTGGAGCGGAGGTCCCTCCTCCAGGAGGTGACTTCTCTGCTGACCTAAGAGGAGTGGGCAGAGAAGCCATGTTCCCCAGTTGAAACTCCACCTTCTCAGGACAAACACCTGTCCTTCATTCAGTCACAAACCCTGGGGATGGGGGGCCTTGTAACCAGCACACACTGCAGGAGCCACGTGGGAGGGATGGGGACAGAGGAGGCCCAAGCAGGGAGAGGGCAGCAGGCCCTAAGTTGAGGTTCAGGAAACACTGTCACTACTCTAGTCCCATGGGACAGCTGGCTGAGGCCTCCAGCACCTTCCCCATCTCCTTGGCAGGCTGGCAGAAGGCTTGGCTCCCTGGCCCTGGACCACCCTATGTGCTGGGCAGGTAGCATTGGCATTGGCCCAGCATGGGTGGAGGGACAAGGTGGAATCTGGTGTGCGCTGTCTGTCCTTCTTCATCACTCACATGATGTAACACATTGCAAGACCATGGAGCCAAGGCTGAGGAATGGGGAATTCTGCTTAGGCAAGGCTGGGGACTGCAAGGTCCCTGACTTAGAATGGCCAGCATAGGCCCTCCAGGAATGCCCCGGGCAGGCCATGGGCACGACCAGTTGGGCCACCCCTAGAGCCTGCTCCCTCGGGGTGCGCTAGGACACCAGGCAGGACACGGTGCTTGGGCAGAAGGGCTCCCTTTTCAGTGTTCATCCTGTGTAGCCATCCTGACCTTTCAGACGTAGAATTTGGAAGCTGTGTGAACTTTTGGGTCAGGGTCAAGGTCAATGGCCTTGCTCAGTTGGAGTGGCTAGAGAGGAGGAGCTCAGCATGGGAGGACTGAGCAGTGTGAGTGGGGAGCTTGCCCTTCGTCCCCCTCCTCCCCACCCTCCTCCTTGCCTCCCTCCCTCCCCTCCCCTGTTTGCACTTGGATTTGCAACAAGCGGTCAGTGGCATCCGTGGACTTTGGGGCACCCTGACCAAGGGGCCAGTTCTCCAGGCTGTGCCATGGCAGAAGCAGTCACTGTCACACTGGGCCATATCCTGAAGCCACCACCCAAGGCCACTCTCTTCTTCCTGAGTCCTCTGACCTGCAGAGATGGCAAACACTTCTCTGAACAGCTTCATTCTCCCCTTTGTCCCCTCTTAATCTGGTCATTCTGGGCCTCCCTCTTCCCAACAAAGCTCTGCTTTCATGACTTCGATTGTAAGCTCCCTGAGGGCAGGGAAGGTTTTCTTGAGCACCTAGCACACCTCAGGTGCCTGTTGCCACACTAGGTGAGGTGTGTTTGACTTCTGGGAACACAAAGGAAGGTCTAGCGCCTGCCCTCAAAGAGAATGCCATCTTATTGACAAGGATTTGTGCTGCCAAATCCAAGGTGAGGCCTCCAGGCATCTGAGAAAGGTGGGCAGGCCCAGCCACACTAGGAAGGCTGCCTGGAGGCAGCGCCCCTTGAGCTGGGTACTGAAGGAAGGCATGGAAGGATTTCAGCCTGGTTTAATTCAATTCAACAAATGTATTAACTTTTCTGGCCCAGGCCCTTGGAATACAGATGCAAAAGAAACCGAATGGGGTCTTTGGTGGCTGGCTACATCTTAGCTACATTTTGAAGAGAACAAGGGATTCCAAAAGGCCAAGGTGAGGCGGGAGGGCATTCCAGAAACAGGAGATGGCCCGAGCACAGGTGTGGAGAGAGGAGATGGTGAATTGTGTGGGAGGAACAGCAAGGCAGGTTGGGCCAGGTTGTAACCAGTTCTAAATGCCAAACAGGGTCCCTAGGGAGCCAATGACCAAGCCATTCTGGAGGAAAATCACTTTGGCGGCCGTGGGGAGGCCAGACTGGAGAGGGCAGTCATTGGAGGCGAGGACGCCAGGTAGGAGGCTATTGCCCAGAGAAGTGACTACAAGGCACCAGGAATCAGAAGAAAGGAAAGCCTTCTGATTACAAGACAAGGCTTCTATTCTCCAAGCAATCCTCAAGTGGGCTGGGCTGCCTCTGGAAGGGAGGGGTGGCTCCCTCTCAGCTTCCTGGTACCTTGGGCTAGAAGGCTAGAAGGACACCCCCTTCCAACCCCTTGATTCTGCCCTGACTCACTGCTTTTCATTCACTTTTATTTCTGCACCAGCCCCCATCCCCCAGCCTCTGCCCTTTTAGCAGGGAATAGGGCTGTTTTATACTCCAGGAAGAAGTGACTTTGACATTTGCAATAATTATAACAATAGCAAATAATACATATCACTTAAAGGGCTGGCAAGTGCTGTGCCCAGATCATCCCATTTGAGGTGCATGTCGAATATCCAGCCTCTTCTGTCCATGATTTGGAAAGAGACACAAGGGAGGCCCACCCCAAGAGCCTTCCTTCCCTGAAGCCCGGCTCAGGGTTCAGGGCTCCCACCTGGGTTCTGACGTCATCACTGGAAGTCCCTGCCAGCAGGTACATGGCTGTGATGTTGGTGGAGCTGTGAACTGGCCTGACTGTTTGGGAAAGCAATGTGGAGCAGCACCCCGAACGCCATTCAACTGTGCGTGTCCTTTGACCCGGCCACACAGCTCCAAAGTCTATATTCCAAAGAGACCAAAGATCTCTTGTCCTCGTCTGTACATAAATATTTACTGCATGCTTTTTTCAATGGAAAAAAACTGGAAACGGGGGGGGGGGGGGGCATCTGTGGGGAAATGGCTGAACAAGTGACAGTCAATGAATGGGTTGGGATAGAATATTATTGCACTGTGAGAAATGAGGAAACCATGCTTCTAAAGAGACGGGAAGGGCCTGCCTGAACTGATGCAGAGGGAAGGGAGCAGAACCAGGGCGTCAGTTACACAGTGGCAACAATGTTGCAAACAACTTTGGAAGGCCCAGAACTCTGAGCCACACAATGCCGCCCCCCCTCCCCCAACTGCAGAGGAGGCGGGAGCACAGGAGGAGACCTTTCTTTTCTGGACATGGCCAACGCAGGAATTTGTCCTGCTTGTTTGGTGCAAGGGTTCTGTCTGTCTTTCTTTTTCCTGTGGGTGGGGGGAGGAAAGTGGAAAGTGGCTTTTCATTAATTGAAAAAAAAGGTTAAAAAAAAAAAAAAAAGGCAAGGAGGGGAAGCCCCTGCTAACATACACATTTGTCGCTAGGTGGCGCTGTACTTAGTGGTGTACTTGGGAGCAAGGGAGACCCAAGTTCAAATCCTACCTCAGACACTAGCAAGCTGGATAGCCCTGAACCAGCCACTTCATCTTTCTCGTCCTCAGTTTCCTCATCTGTAAAACAGAATAAGAATAACATCTACCCAACAGGGTTGTAGTGAGGATTAAATGAGATAATGTATGTAAAGCACTTTGCAAGCCTATTAATAAATGCTAATTATTACTGTTGATATTATTCTCATCTACATGTATTACCAGTCTCTTATCTCTAGTTACTCAATAAACATTTATTAAGTGCCTACTATGCTCCAGGCACGGTACAGCGAGGCTCCCTAGCCTCAGCCAGGGTCCTAAAGGGACAGGACCAGCTGGGGAAGTGTCTCTGAAGGGTGGGGTCACCTCAGGGAGGGGAGACGGGTGTCTGCGGTGTACTCCCCCTTGCCCCCCAAGGGCAGTGACCACCCGTTCTAGGCTGGACCCATTCCTCTAGACTCCCATGCTGGACTTGGGGGGCTGCAATGGCTCTATGACTCAGAAGTAAGTGAGCAATGGTCTTGGCCTCACCCACACAATTACCCCTGTTGGGTGGAGTCCGGTGCTCTGCCTACCTTCTGGAGGACCAGGCCCCCTTCCCCCAGGGGGTGCCTCCACCCACCCCCAAGTCTCCCCAGGCACCTGATGGACACCTTTCGTTTATTCGGTCAACAAGCATGGTGGGAATGTCCACTCCGAGTCAGAAGCTATGCTACGCCCTGAGGCCATGAGCCCAAAAAGGAGGCTGGCCCTGCGCTCACCAAGCTTATCTGCTCCTAGGTTGTTGAGTCATAAAGATTAGATACAAAATGATTTCCGGGCTTGGAGGAGAACAGCTTGGAAACTGAAGTGGGGGTGAAGAGGCCTAGGGAGCAGCCTGTGCAAAGGTCCAGAGATGGGAGATGAGGCGGGAAATGCGGCTGCTGGGTGTGGGGAACAGGCCCCGAAGGCCTGAGAGTACAACTCCTTTTCTGGAAATGTCCAACTCAAGTCTGTCTTGCTCTGATGTCTCAAGCAGACGTGGCAATCCGGAAGACTTGGGTTCAGATCCTGCCTGGGACGCTGGAGAGTTGTGTGACTTCGCGAGTAAGTCGCTGAATGTTTCCGGGCTGCATTCTTCTCCTCTGCAAAATAAAGGGTCCAGACTGGATAGCCTCCGAGGAAGGGGAGGAGGAGGGAGGAGGAGGGGGGAGAGGAAGGGGGGAGAGAGGAGGAGACAAAGGGAGGAGGGAAGAGGGGGCAGGACGGGGGGGAGGGGCAGCAGCAAGAGACCCCTCCCAGCTCGGGATCTCTGGCTCCGGGTCCGGCCAAGTTGGACGGGCTTGGCTGGGGTCCTGATGTCAGAGTGAGGTGGGGGGCGGGGGAGGCTGTCAGTGGCTCGTAGGTGCCTTCTGTGCCCAGCCCCGCGCCCTTCCTCGCCCCCCGCCCCTTGTCCGGCCCCGGAGCTCCGGGGGGGAGGGGGCACTCAGCAGCCCCGCGTCTCTCCTGCTCGGCTGCCCGGGGTCCCTCGGCCGGGCTGGCGCCGCCCGCTCAGGACGTGACCGTGACCGTGACCGTGACCGTGACCCCGCCCTCCGGAGCCCGGAACCGCGGCGGGGGCGGGGCCGCGGGGCTGGGGGCGGACCGGGGCGGGGGCGGGCCAGGGACCGGAGGCGGGGCCGGGACTGGGCCGGGCTGTGACGCAGGCGGGAGCAGGGCTGGCCGCGGGCTCCCGGCGCCGGACGCCTCTGCGGGGGCTCCGGGGACTCCGGGCGCCCGAGCTAGGAGGAGGAGAGGGAGGAGGGGGAGGAAGGAGAGGAGGAGGGGGAGGGAGAGGAGGAGGGGGAGGGAGAGGAGGAGGGGGAGGCAGGAGCCCCGCCGGCCGCCGGACTTTGCTGCTGCTGCTGTTGCGAGTGGGGCAGGCTCGGCGGCGGGCACGGGGAGCTCAGCAGAGAGGTGGCTGTACTCGAGCTGCCGGAGTCCGAGCCCAGCGGGGTCAGTGCCGCGGCGGCTCGAGCGGTGGGTGTCCCGGGGACACCGGGGGGGGGGGGGGGGTGCCTGGAAGTGCGGGGGGAAGCGGGGAGCTCCGAGTGTCGGTGTTTGTGAGTGTGTCGGTGTGTTTGTGAGGGTTTCTGTGTGTCTCAAGGAGTGACAGTGTGCTTGTGGGTCTGTGTCCTGTGGCCGTGTGTGCTTGTTTGGATCTGGCTCTGTGTGTGTTTGCATGTTGTCTGCATGCGCTGCCCGCATGCATGTCTGCCAGGGTGAGTCTACGGGGGCGTTCTACCTGTGTGTGTCTGTGGGTTTGAGCGGATGTGTCTGTCCCTGGGCATTTGTGGGTCACTCCTGAGTGTTTTATACCGCTGTTTGTATCTGTGTGTGTTGGCACTGAGTGCCTGCGCCTCTGCATGTGTGTGTGTGTATGCGTGTGCATGCGAGGTGCACATGTGTCCCCGTCCCCTCTCCCTGCCTCGGCTGGGACTGTTGCCGGGGTTGTTGACCCCTGCCCCCCACCTGGAGCTGACCCTTCTCTCCCTGTCCTGCTGGGGGACCCCATGGAGGAGAGTGGGGAGCCGGCAAGGGAGAGTGCCCCCCTCGGTCTGCCGCTGCCTCTGCCGGCGGGTGGCCATGAACCGAGCTCAGATTTCTGGCCCAGGGCTGGGAAGGCAGAGGGCTTGGGTGTGATGGGTTGGCAGCCCCTGCCAGGCTCCTAATAAGGGTTTGTTTACTGACTTTTCAGGCAGCCAAGGGCCCGAAGGAAAGCCTCTCTTTTCCACCCCACGGCTGGATGATGGGCACCTGCTCCTTCCTACAGACACCACTCTCAGCCCAGCCAGGCTTTTTGGTTCTTGAGTCCTTTCTCCTGCCTCAGTGTTTCATTCTGCCCTTCCTAGGGTGTGTGTTCTAGCATCTCCCCACCGAACTGGAAGGGGTCCTCCTTGGCTCTCCTTCGTTCACTTGCCAGGACCCACCATGGGAGGTAACCTGGGCTGCCACCGCTCCATCCCTAGGGACCCCTCGGACCTTTCTCACAGCCGCAAGTTCAGTGCCGCCTGTAACTTCAGCAACATCCTGGTGAACCAGGAACGGCTCAACATCAACACAGCCACCGAGGAGGAGTTGATGACGCTGCCTGGGGTCACCCGGCCGGTGGCCCGCAGCATTGTGGAGTACCGTGAGTACATCGGCGGCTTCAAGAAGGTGGAGGACCTGGCACTGGTGAGTGGTGTGGGGGCCACCAAGCTGGAGCAGGTCAAGTTTGAGATCTGCGTGAGCAGCAAGGGCAGCTCTGCCCAGCATTCACCCAGCTCCCTGCGGCGGGACCCGTACTCAGAACCCCAGCAGTACCACTTGGCGACAGCGCCCCCCACTGCGAAGGTTAACATCAACACAGCCACCCCGGCCCAGCTCATGAGCCTGCGAGGGGTGTCAGAGAAGACGGCCCTGAGCATCGTGGACTACCGCCAGGAGCACGGGCCCTTCAAGAGCGTCGAGGACCTCATCAGGTTGGAGGGCATCAGCTCCGGCTTCCTGGACAAGATCCGGTCCCAGGCGTTCGCTGAGAGGTCCCGGCCCCCCTCCACGCATACCAATGGCGGCTTGAATTTCACTGCCAAGCCCCACCCTAGCCCCACATCCCTGAGCCTCCAAAGCGAGGACCTTGACTTCCCCCCCGGGGGCCCGACCCAGCTCATCTCCACACGTCCGTCCATTGAGGCTTTTGGAGGGACCCGGGATGGCTGGCCAGTGTGGAGGCTGGCCACCTGGAACCTGCAGGACTGTTCCATTGAAAAGGCCAACAACCCCGGCGTGCGGGAGGTGGTGTGCATGACCCTGCTGGAGAACAGGTGAGCAGCAGGAGGAGGGTGATGGCTCCTCTGAGGAGGGTGAGGGTTCCTGGGCGCTCAGCCCGACTCCAGGCGTGGCCGTCGTCAGATGCAGGGCTCAGGCTAAAGACAGGCTGCAGCCACTGACCTGAGCCCCTGAGAGGGTCAGTGAGCTGGCTGCCACCCTCCGGGGCCTTACCAGCCCCAGGCCCCAGGCCAGGCCATCAGGGAAGGCACGAGGCTAGTTTTCCCTTCGTTCTATTTCTTTAAAGTCTAACTTGGGCCGCTGGATGTGCCCATGCACAGGCATGTCCACGTGTTGGGGGAGCTGAAGGGAGGTTTATCCGGCTGGGATGGGGTGGGGATGAGTGAAGGACTGTCTTGGGGGGCGCCTGAGCAGCCTCACTCTCTTTGGCCCCAGAGAGAGGGCAGGCCCTGGAGCAAAGGGTGGTGGGGTGGGGAGGACTGGTAATGGGGCCATTTTTGTCTGGATGCTGTCCCAGAGTGCAGTGGGCCGCCCAGGAGGGGCTGGGTGCCCTCTCCTTGCAGGGCCCCAGACCGAGGCTGGCTGCCCACCTGTTGAGATGGAACCGTGGGGATGTCTTTGGACCAGAGGCGGCTGAGGTCCCTTCCCACTCTCAGATTCTGACCGATCTGGAGAGGGTGACTCATCCCTCTCCTTTATTTAACCTAAAATTGGTTTCCCACCGCCCACAAGAACCTAGCCGGCAGTGTGGGGAGCCTCTCTGTGTGCCCGCAGCCAAACAGGCTGGGCTGGCCTGCTTGTAGGTTGAAGTTAGGCCCCAGTGGCCCAGACCCCGGGGGCTGAGGGAGAGAGAAGGTGCCGCCCACCCTGCTGCCTCTCCCAGTGTTCAGGGGCAGGAAAGTGGGCAGGAGGGGAAACTTTCACTGTTTCCCAGGCCTGGCTGAGCTCCCTCCCCTCTGCAGGTCAGTTACCGACTAGAAGCCCACAGACACCCATGGGGGCTGCTGTCAAACCACTCTCGGTCAGTCCGTCTTGGGTGCATTTTGTCTCTTAGCCGACAAGCCCATGGGGGTGGAAGAAAAACTCTTTGTAAAGATGGCTCCCTGCTGCTGTTCTGTGATTCCAGGCCTGAGAGAGATGAGCCAGGTGTTAGCAGGTCACGGGGCCTCAGATGACAAAGTGTCATCCCAAGGCGGGCATTGAGCCGGGGCCTGGGGCCCTGCTCTGGATGTCCTGTGGCCATGGGGAGCAGAGCTGACTCTCGCCCCAGCGAATGGTGCAGGCACAGTGGTCCTCCAGCTGAGAGTGGAGAGGCCAGGCCTAGGCCACAAAGGCTGTGGACGCCTGCTTCAGGGATGCTTCTGGTCTGTGGCACCTGAGCCTCTGGGCCTCCTCCTTGTGTGTGCTGCGTGCCAGGCACCGTGCTAAACACTGGGCATACAAGGAAAAGCAGGAGCAGGCCCTGGCCTCAAGGAACTTGTTACTCGAAACAGCTGCATGTGTGTGGTGGCAAAACCCTTTACAGACACGATCTCATGTGTCAGGCGTAGGTGAAGGACTTGCCTGGGGTCACACAGCTAGTTCAGTGTCTGAGACAGGATTTGAACTCGGATCTTCCTCATTCCACTTCTAGGACCCTATCCTCTGGTCAAACTGCCGGGGGTTCCTCCTTGTCTATGGCCTCTCCCTAATCCCCTTGTGTTGTTGGCTGCCTGGGTCTTTGGTTGATTTTGTTTGGCTGGGGAGCCTGAGAGGGAGGGGGAGGGGGAGTTCTAATTCTCCTTTTCTCTTCTTTTCTGATGGTCAGGGTGGGCCTTTATCCTTGGGTGATGGAGGAGCTGCTGAACTGGGTTAATCTCCTAGGCCCAGACTTAGGGTAATGTTAGAAGCTGAGTACATGAGGGAGGGATGGAGGGATGGATGGAGGGGTAGATGGATGGAGGGATAGATGGAAGGATGGATGTATGGTTGGAGGGATGGATGGATGGAGGGAGGGATGGATGGATGGATGGGAGGGAGCCACTCGCTTGCTAGGAGGCATCTCTGCTCTATAACTGAAGGAAGTGTGGGAGCCCTGGGGAAATCCATTCGAGAAAAGCTTTCCTGAATGTTCCAGCCTAGATCTGTTGGAAGGAGATCCAGTTAGCCTTGGGGAAGGAGAATTAACAGAGAAAGTTTAACTCTGCTTCTCCAGGACAACTTGAACCCCAAATGCTCAGAGCAAGGCTTGACTCAGAATCTCCTGGTGCCCATGAGATGGAAGCAGGTGGAGGCTGCGCAAGGCTCACATGACCTGGCCCCCCGAAAGTCTCTGGACTGCATGCTCCTCCTGCTCCCCTATGGCATGGGTGCTCTGGATAACCCCAACACATCACTGACCTGTACATGGTAAATTTGGCTTAAGGCCTAATGCCTTCAAAGTCTGGATGGTGCTTCTGGCCCTGTGAGTGTCTGAGAGCACTAGAAGAGGCTAGCTACTAAATATGCCCTATACAGCACGGGTGCAAAGTTGTAACTAGGACAGGCAGGTGGGACTTTGGCCCAGGTGACTGAATTTAGACGCAGACTGTTTAGAGGGTCATTCACCATGAGCCACAGAGAGTGGGGAAAGTACCGTGGCAGCCCTTTACTGTTACCCTTGTTTTCAGGCTGAGAGAAACTCCATCCAGAGGAGTTATCAAGGTAGAGGAAAAACTTAACACTTACCTTTAATTGGGATTGGAGACTGGCCACAAATGATATTCTGGTGCTGGAGGGTTTCCCAGGTGGCTCATTTGTATGACTGGAGAACTGCGTAGCGTCACCTCCCATGCAGCCTAACAAGCATGGATTAAGTACCTACTGTGTACAGAGACAAAAATGAAACAGCCCTTGCCCTCAAGGAGCTTACGGTCTGTGGGTGGGGGCAGGGAAGGGGTGACCCTGGAAGTAAGGAAGTAAAAAGAAAGGAATGCAAAGTATTTTTCCAGGTTCTATGGGAGGTGCTGGGGAAACCAGACAAAGGATGGAACAAGCCCTCCCCTCACAGAGCTTACACTTTAAGGGGGAAGACAACAACTAATGTAGATTCAATGAAAGATGCCTGGGGAGGGAGGGCAGAAAGGGCTTGGAATAGAGCAGAAGGAAGAGGGGGATTGTCTGAGGCACACATGAGGAGGGAATGCTGCTCAGGTATGGGGGACAGCCTGGGCAAAGGCGTGGAGGCCAGAGATGGAATGAAGAGAAGGCCAAATTGAAGGGCGAGGTCCACTGAGGCTGGAAGGCTAGGCCAGGGCTAGTTTAGATTTGTGGTTTAGCTTAGACTATCTATCCCCGAGAGGCCACGCTCCTGGCCGTGGTCTGTCTGCCGTCTTTCCTGGGCGTCGATCCCCTGGATGGCATCTTTTGTTGGTACTTATTTTAAAGGATAGTTTTATTAGCGCTTTTTGTTTTCACTTCACGTTCTTTCCCAAACATACGACCTGCCCCTGAATTTTGTTGTCTGGACAACAGACCTTCTCTGTGCTCTGTGACCCAGAGGCTCTTGCTGTCTCCAAGTGCTCAAAGGGCCACCACGTACAAAAGGATCCTCTTTTTTTTGTTCTAGGCAGTTGGGGTTAAGTGACTTGCCCAGGGTCACACAGCTAGTAAGTGTCAAGTGTTTGGTCTGAGACTAAATTTGAACTCAGGTCCTCCTGACTTCAGCGTCTATGCTCTATCCACAAGGATCCTCTTGCTCGATCCGCTCGGTGCCAGAGAACAGAACCAGGAGCTACAGAGAGGGCCATCTGGGCTCGATCTGAGGAATCCCTTCCGAACATTGGCGCTTTCCCGCAGTAGGACAGACCGCCTCTGGAAGGTGGAAGCTCCCCCTTCCTGGAGAAATCAAAGGCTTTCTGGTCGCGATTGTAGCCCAGGTTCAGGTGAGACCGAGGTCTCTCCCTACTCGGAGACCACTTGCTTCCTTGTTGCCCTCGCCCTTTTCTCGTGGAGCGCTCAGGGACTGCGATATTGGAACCCGGAAGTGTTGGTTTGCTTCTAGAAGCGTGGACGGCGCTGCTGTCCGTGGTTCTTCTTCTGCTTCGCTCGTAACTGTTCTCGGCATTCTCTGGCCATCGTTGGGCCTCACGTCAGCCCTGCTGCAGGCCGCTCTTGGCCGTCTTGTGAGGTCAAGCTAGTTGTAACGTTTTGTCTCTTCCGTGACATTATCAATAACTTTACGTTCTAACCCGTCCTGCCCTCGTTTACCATGCTCCTCTACTTAGCACGGAGACACACTGTTTGCCGACTTAGCTCTCTAGCTGTCCCCATCGGGGTGATTATAAATGGGTGTTAAGTTCCTGTAAGCGTTAGCCATAGTCTGTGTGCGTGTCTTTTCCTGTGTCCCTTTCCCTTTTTCTGTAGCGGGAAGTTTCTTTGAGCAGGTCAGGTTGGAGCTGTTGTATCCGCCCGGGATCCTCTCTGTTTTATCCTGGCTTCTTTCTGGGTGTTGAGTTTGACCTTTCCTTCTACTAGGCTGTGATGGACGGTAGTTGATTGTGAAATGACTTCCTTATCAATAACCAGTCATTTCCTGTTGTATAATAGTCAGATTCACAAGGCACCTGCCTTGACTTCCTGCCTCTTTAGCATTGTGATGCGTCTCCTGCCTTCTTTTCACCCTCCTGCCTCATTCCCTTCTTTGTGTGAACCTCCTGAGTGTTGATGTAGACACTGGCTTGACTGGGGGGCCAGGGGCCTTGGGTGGTTCTCTTGAGAATGTCTCTACCACTTCATTCTTGACAACAGAGGTCTGTCTGCACGAGAGGCTGCTGTGGCCAACGCTGTGGTCTTTGAGCCTGGCAGAACAAGGTGAGCGAGGTTCCTGAGACGTGATGTTTCTTGTTGCCTTCGGGCCCACGTTGAAACCCATCTGTTTTCTTCTCTGAGAACCCGGGAGGCATCCGGCCACTTGCTCACGTTGTCCTGTTTCACTGCGGTGGGGACTGCCCACTTGGTGATGATTCAGACCCTCCAGCGGGAGGCTCTTAGTGGGAGGTGATTAGTGTCTGGGGCC